ACAAAAATTCGTAAAGGGTTCTGCGGAACCCTGTGTCTCGCTAGAGATTGGTGTTGTCAGTGTAAAAATGTAATGTTGACTTAAAAAGTGAGTCCATTTATCAGTAAAATACAGAATAAAAAAAAAAAAAAACTTTTTCTTTAGATGCTATTTCATGGTCTTGAAGATTAGCATCTGTCCAAGTTTCATATCAATCCATGAAGGTTTACAAATGAATCATGTCAAAAAAAGTTTTTCCCACACTGTCTGTATTTTTTTATTGTCAAAAAGTAAGTTCATCTATCAGAAAAATACTGAAAATGAAGAAGATATATTTTCAAAAGTTTGCTTCAGACATTATCTCTTAATCATAAAAAAGCTTCTGCCAAAGTTTCATAAAATTCTATGAAGGTTTAACAAAGTAATTGACGTGTAACAAACTTTAACCCCAGACCGTATCTACTTGTTAGATGTAAAAAAAAACTAAGTCCATTTATCAGTTAAATACGGAAAAATGAATATAAACATTTTCAAAACTTTGCTCTGAACTGTATTTTGGTAATAAACAAGCTTCTGTCCAAATTTCCTAAAATTCCATGGAGGTTTGACAAAGTTCTTGATGTCTAAAAAAACTTTAACCACAGACTGAACCTAAATGTTAATTTTTGTTATTATACTTCACGTTAAAATGCCAGATTTTGTAAATATGTAAATATGAGGGAGGTATCCTACCCTATCCCATGGATCCCATGGCTTAAATCCTATTATCCATCTCGTCAAGTTACAACGCTTGATCAATTGTGAAATTTATTAAATACAGATGGTTGTTATGCATGTTATGTACATGACTTCATAGTTTATTATTTAAAAGACAATAAAAACAGAAGATTCTATATAAAATAAATAACACAGCTGAGAGAGTGAAAGAGCAGATTGTTACCCAGAGAAAACATTGTCATACTTTCCCATATTAAAAATGTTATATTGAAAAATGGACTTACTTTTTGGAGTAAACATTTTACATTTGTTGCAGTATGCGTGACATAGGTATTACAATCCGGCGGCGGCGTAAACTATTTGTTTAAAGCTTTATAATTCAGAAGATAGAAGACCTTGATGCTTCATACCTTGTGTGCAGATACCTTATATTTCGTCTGTCAGATGTCCATTGTCATTGACCTCATTTTCATGGTTTAGTGACTGCTTGAAAAAAAAAATTGTATGCCCCCGCCGCTAGGCGAAGGGGGCATTAAGTGTTACCCTTTTCCGTGGCGTGGGTCACTTTTACCGTTCATGAGTTTATATTATGAAACTTATCTACAATGCTTATTACCACACAACACAGATCAAGTTTGAAATTGGATGGCGTCACTTTTACCGTTCTTGAGTTATGCCCTTTGTGAATGACAACATGTAGAAATATATGTCATTAACTTTAAAAGAAAAGACAATGTCAATAATTAGTACATTGATTGGTGCATATTTACAATACAATAGTAATGTAATACTCACTTATTATGAATCATAAGATAACTATATTTGGTATATGGGTTCTTTGCAACGTCTACATGTCCGTCAGGTTAGGTTCACCTGAACTCGACCTCATTCCATCGATCAGTGATCAAGGTTAAAGTTACGTGATCAAGTCCGTATCTCAGATACTATAAGCAATAGGTCAAATATATTTTTGTTGGAATGTCAGACTAACAGGTTTCATCTAACCTTGACCTCAATTTCATGGTTCGTGGACAATATTTAGTTTTTCTGGTTTGGTCTATTTCTCAGATACTATAAGCAATAGGGCCACTCTATTTGGTGTACGGACTAATTGAAAGGTGTACATGTCTGTCTGGCAGGTTTTACCTGACCTTAACCTCATTTTCATGGTTCATTGATCGATGATCAGTTTTCGTAATTATATCGGTTTATCGATACTATAAGCGATAGGACCACTATATTTGGTGTATGGAATGATTGCAAGGTGTACATGTCTGTCTGGCATGGTTCATCTGACTGTGACCTAATTTTCATAGAACATTAATAATGTTAAGTTTATGTGATATTGAAGAAAACTTTCGTATTACAGATTTTCAACCGTAATCCAATGGTAAATAATAAAACAGGCGAGACCTTTCAGGGTGTGCACTCTTGTTTAGCAGATGATACAGTCTAGTGTTAAAGATTTTAAAGCATCAATAATCTGATTCAAACCAACAATGAGTTTCATGAAACGTTTACTGTGACTTCTTCAAAGCCATTTAGATAACTCTGAAAATCCTGATTAATATACGTACCTGAATTTAGTTATTTTTGTTATAATTAACATTTACATGAAGGTACAGTCTATGACTTAAGATGTTTAAATTTAAATAAGTATGTCAAGTCTTCTGAAATTTTACAAAGCTTGGACAGAAGCTTCTTGAACGTGATAGTTTCCTGAGCAAATATCTGTTTTCATATTCACTGTTTTGTTTTGCTAATAAACATGTTATATAACTTATATTTCATGAATATATAATGAAATAAATGTTGTTTTTTTTTTGGAATTCAACATTACTATTTTACACTGACAGCATCAGTCGCAGGCAAGACAACGGGATATGCGTAACCATTTACATATTTTTTTATATTTCTAAGAAATCTAATATCTAAGAAATAGGGGGAGGGGGTACATTTACTTCCCTCGACCGTTGAAGCAATGTTATGCTTAAATGCTCAAAATATTCATAAGGCAGCACAATTAAATACCACCTTTTTTTTATTCTTTCGACAAATTTTATAATTTTGAAAAACTAAATTTTTTTCAAAAAAAAGGGGGGGTGCACCATACCCAGAGTGATTAGTTTTCATTCGGTACCACATATATTCTCATTTATAATTTACAAATTTGTGTCAGAAATGCAAATATAAATGGAAGATTTTGGCTTATTAAGTTCAAGATGTTTGATTGTTCATCTGTATGGCAATCTGGATTTTTGTGAAAATGGACAATTTTTTAATACAGATATTTTTTTAAAGAAAAAAACAACACACGACTTTCTTTTTATTTCATGAACATCTAATATGTTGTCTTTCAAAATTCGTCAGTGACATGTTATGGTATTGTTGGTCTTGTGAGATAAACAGAAAATTATTAGACAGAGAAACATAAACTGACTACATTTTATAAAATAAAAAATGGATTCTCTCCAAGTTATATGATAGATTTATTAGAACCTTGTCTTCCCACACAAAATGATTACAATCTTAGGAGAGATTCTCAGAATTATACCATCCCAAGGTGCAGAACAGTTTCATATTATAGAAGTTTTATACCATCTGTTGTTAAACTCTGGAATGAATTATATATATATAGATACTAATGTAAAAAATGCTTTGTCGATTAACCAGTTCAAATCTGTACTTAATAAAATATATAAACCAGAGATTCCTCCTAAATATTTTTGTTCTGGTATAAGAAAATTTAATATTATTCATCGTCAATTGCGAAATGAACCAAGTAATTTAAATTCGCACTTGTATCATGATTTTTTTTATTGAAGAACCTTCCTGTCCTAAATGTTTATATCAATGTGAAGACAATCAACATTATTTTTGTGATTGTCCATCATACACTTTAAACAGGATCATACTCCTTGATAAACTGTTTACTTATGAAGTTGATATTGATTTAAAGTCATTACTATTTGGTGATCAATCTATGAGTAATGAAGACAATATTCAGATAGTTAATGCTGTTCATGAATACATAAAAAATTCAGAGAGATTTGTATAATGAAATATATTTTATAGTCCAAAACTAAATAAATTTTTACTTTGTATATCTGTATTTTATTTTATATTCAAGTTCTAATACCCCAACCGGCTGAAAAATAATTAAAATTGAAACAAAAATTAAAAAATAAACGACAATATATTGTAATTGATATTATAAAAACTAAAAAACTAATAAATGCACGTCTATTTTTCTATATCGTTCAAACCATCTTTTGTATATCTTTAGTTTCTTAAATCTATTTTTTTATTATTATTATTTTTTCTTATTAACATTCTTAATTCTTTTTTATATTATTATGATTCTTTAATGTATCAATATGGTTATTACTCACTGTCGTTATTCTTCAGGTGCGATAAATTAGTAAAAATAAGTACATGCTATCAAATATGTTGTTTTGAAAAATGAGGTATTAAAATTATAATATTGAACAGCTGACTGGAGACTGTTTAATTTAATGTCAGGCATCTAAATCAATGTTGGAGTTTATTACCTTGAATATAATTTTTTTTTTCTGAGTTAACTACATGTATTTGAAGCATTCTTAAAATATTCATACTTTTTATCTGAGTTAACTATTTGAAGCATCATTCCAGTCAGCTATGAGGTATTTTTGGAAAATTAATTCTGTGTTGCCATTATGTTTGTGTATGTTTTGCTTTGTTTGAATGTAATATATTGTACCTTGTTTTATGGAGAGTGCTTACATAGGCTATGCCTGTTGCCCAATCCAAATAAACTTATTTGAATAAAATACTGTTTAAACTAAACAGAAATGAAATTTGGCGATTTTTAAAATTATTTATCATAGAATTTTAAGGTATTTTTAAATGGTTGCTATGGGAACAAACTATAACGTATATTTGAAATTTTAAAGTTTTTGAATAGTGTAGTGTTTTGTTTGTCAACAATATAAAAATGCTTATTATTTTTACTGATTAACTTTATTTCCATGGTACTTTAAAATCCCTAATATTTTTTTATTTTCAAAGGCTATTTTTTGCACGTATTTAGGCAAAATGTTAGGATGGTTTCCATGGCAACAAAGGTAAAAAGAAAAAATAAATACATGAAACTTAATTTCATACTATACCTTCTTCAAAAACAAAATATAAAGACGTTTGAAGAGGGGTCATGAATCGTCAATGAGGATGGCGTCAATCACGTGATTATTTCTGTATTGGCCTGAGGCGAACCGAAGGCCAATACAGCTGGCTGAGGACCAATAACAAGGCCAATTCAGAAATACTCACGTAATGATATCTTTATTAATTAACTACAGTGTTACATTTTTTTTCATTTCATTTCACAAGAGATTAACATTTTTTACCTTAAAATGGAACTATCCAAACCCGAGTTGCAATGCCAAATGATCTGGTGCTGTTTTGAGATGTCTTCTACATTTTCTGATGATTTCTCACCCTTTCCGGTCACTATAAAGTGTTACAATTCATATTTAGACGCAAACATAAATAGTAATTGGAAAGGTGCTGCCATTGCATGAGTAATGCCAAGACAAAAGGATTTTTTTTTCAAATAAAAGTAGGAGATGAATATCATTGACAATGAGACAACTATCCATAGAGTTATTAGACCAACTGACCAAAGACTTGAACAATTACAGGTCAACCTTCAACAATTCATATGCCTGGTTCGGGTTGAAAAATAAATGACACTTACAAAAACACGAGAAGCGAAAGTAAACTGTAAATCGATTTGTACCCATTAAACTGATTAAATGTTTTTAGTTATGAGGTCAACAAAATTGTCGAGAGATTAGCTTTGTGATAATCTACAGACTTGTTGCCCAAACCTGAAATAATTAAATCATCTGCTTACAGAAGGCTTTTTTAAATGACTCGGTATTTATGGTGTGTAAATTTCTCTCAGTATGAGCTTCCTTTGGAAGGAACACCAAGGATAAAATCCAAGAAATGGTTATATTTACACGGTAGAATATATTATGTATTATTAAAGTTAATGTCCAACGGTAATATACAAAGTAAAACTTTTCTATTTACACATAAAATCCAACTGTCATTTATGAATAATAAAACTCAAATTATACGGACTAAAAACTGCTTATCGTAAATAAAACAGCGTCTTCCAAACGACAGTTTACATTAATTTGGTGTTCATCATGACTTTCGATTTAAAAATCCGAGACTTTCCGAAATTCCTGTATTGGCCGGATCAGAACTCGGCCAATACGAAAAAAAATCAATATTGGCCGAGTTGACACTTTTTTTTATAGCACAGGCAGTTATCATCATATTAAGTCCAATTACAGAGTAGTTAATTAGTAAAGACATATACCGGTATGGTTGAACACAAGATTACATACAATAAATATCATATAAGTGGCGGCTAGTCTACTTGTTGTCTTTATAAAGGTTGCATATCTGAGAGCCAAAGTATGAGCGTCTGCTCATTTCAAATCCTAAGCGGTAGACAAGTTATTAACAAGTTGTCAATTTCTCAAACACATTCGTCCTCAGAGCTGTCACTTTCTATAACGTAGCGACGACGCTTTGTTGGTTGAGGTGACGGTAAGTTTGAAATATTTATATTAAAAGTCCCTCCACAGATGGTCCACCAAAGAGGCAACTTAGACCAGTTGGCGCAGCCGCCAAATTTCCAAAAGAAACTTGAGTTTCAGAGACAGCTGTTGAGACATTTTTTTTTACATTCTTTCCAACCTGGTCATTGTTTATCGTTACTGTCCTTGTGGTTTGTGTTGATGGCATACTTTCGCTATTATTGTCCAATATCGTCCCCGAGATCTCATGATGCTTCTTGGAATTTGATTTTGAGTAACTGGAAATACTTTGGATGTTTTTGTGTCCAGATATCTGAAAGAAATTATAAGAAAAACCTTAAGTGACAACTATTGAAGGTTCTGCACAAGAAAAACCGAGATGTAACAGTATATGATTATGTTTTGTCAGCTTAAAATGAGGCAAAAAGCAGAAAGTGTTTGAAAACCTCTCATATATACATATGCCCGCCACATTCTATGTGTGACTGTCCCAAGCCAGGAGCATGTAGTTCAGTGGTTGTTGTCGGTTCATGTCTGTCATATTTATTTTTTGTAAATTGTTTTGATATAAATTAGGCCGTTAGTTTTCAAGTTCAATTGAATTGTTTCATATTTTTCATGTCGGAGCCTTTTTAAATTATAGCCGACTATATGGTATGGGTTTTCTCTCATTGTTGAAGGCTGTACGGTTGCCTATAATTGCTTATATCCTTTTAATTTGAACTGTAGTGGATAGCTATCTCATTGGCAATCATACCACATCTCCTTATTTGTATATATGTAACTCCGAGAAGAATCATTTCTATTTTTCTCATAGACAAAGGGTGATGTGTAGAAAGATTAACTCACTCTACATTATATTTAATACACAAGAAGTATAATTTCTAAAATAATAAAAAAAACAAACAAAAAGAAGATGTTCCTGGCTGGTATGTTATATTGGGCTGAGCGTTATATCTATGCCAGTACATGTGATGTGCTGTTTTTGGTGCATTTATTTCATCAGAATTTTCACACACTCTACATACGAGAATTAACAATTCTTAGTACATGTATATCTTATCTCTGATATTTTCTCGGTTGTTTTTTTTTTCTTTCGTTTTAACAGTTAAGTTTGATATTTAATTGAGTTGAATCTTGATACTTTTCCTGGATTTTTGTAGCTCTTCACTATCAACAGTTAAACTTAAAATATCCAACATGTCAAAAGCAATTGACGAGCTTTGCTTTGTAATTTGAAAATTTTACTGTCTTGAAAGTAGAAATATTGTATCACACTGCACATAATGGTAGATAACACAGGAATAAGTTAATTACCCACCTTGATTATGTAACCGTACATGCATGTATATACACATATCATAGACATATAGTTCGCCTAACAATATTAACCTGCTTATTAGAATTATGCTCAAATCCTGCATCATCATGTTCTTGTGGCATAAATCTTCTTGCAGAATGGTTTGTAAGGCGTCTATTGCCCGTGTCATTTTCACTTTCATCATTGTCATCATGTTGATCTTCTTTACTTTGAGTAATCCCTATTATATGAACATAAACTATTAAAATTAGATATCAATACATGTTCTAGACACACATTAAATAATTTCTTTATTCATGACCAACATTTTTTTATGACATGTTGATATTTTTATTTAATTTCTCTTGAAATCAAAAAGTAATCAAAGACTCTAAACCTGCTAATTTAATACACTATACCAGGATTTCCTTTATCTTACATAATAAAACTGGTATCCTGCTTCTGTTGCAAACAAATTACTGCTTTATTATTACTGGTTTTATCACAGTACACTTTAGGATTCTATTTGTAGAACGTGTAACGGTGTTTCAACCATGTTTATTTTTTTAAATTTTATTCAAGTTGGGAAGTAATAAACTGAATGAAAATAGATTTCAACTGCTGGATAAAATCAATATTGTATCGTAGAACTATCTCCCAGTGATAGATAATTTGTCAAGATGGTGGTTTGTTTGAACTCAATTCTTCATTTGGTCAAAATTCAATTATGACGTTTTTTTTTTATTGTGACGTCATAAAAAAATGAGACCATATCTAATGAAGTCATATAGAAAGTACACATATTTTTGCATATTATTGTAAAAGAAAGATAAATTTTGTCTGTATGTCCTCTAAATATCATTCCATAAACATATTCACCAGTGAATGTCGTTAAATACATGTATGATATTTCTTCACTCTCGACACTCAAATTTTAAATATTTAAAAAGCTCAGTAAGCCTCGCTTTTTTAAATATGAAAATTTAACTGTCTCGAGTACACATGTATCGCATCACACTGGATGCAGTGGTAGAATCTATTGATATATATATATATATATAGGTGTTCAGATAAAAGAATCGATAAAAGTATATTGTTATATTTATAGTCTCCTGGTATCCTGCTTCCCAGAAATTCAACAGTTAGGATTTTTTTTTAAAAAGCTATATGTTTAAGCTCAATGTTTATGTAGGATAAACACAATATTGATATAGTGTATGAAAACATAAAATATATTTGTACTCGTTACGAAACAGTAGTAAAGCTCGGCAAGCCTCGCTATTCTCTCGACATTTTCCTACACTGTACGAATTTTGTTTATATACAGTATAATATGATTTATCTTCACTCTCAACAGTTACATTTTGAATATTTAGAATGTAACCATTTTGGATGGAGAAATGTTGTATCACACTCTATGCTGTGCTGTATAACAGTATAATACATATGTACATAAATCTAAAAGCAAATTCAGTATAATTGATTAAATCAACCAGGTTGATACATGTATGTTTTTCTTTTACAAGTCTTTTGGAGAATAGTAAACACTAGATTATGATGGTTTATCTCTTTTGCTAGACTTACTTTTCTTTTTGGAAGATGTACGAATGTGAGTGGTGGTGATTATCGGACTTACTTTTCTTCTTTTCGGATGGTGATGCTGATGAGTGGTGGTGATCATCGGGCTTACTTTTCTTCTTTTCGGATTGTGATGCTGATGAATGAGGGTGATCGTCGGACTTACTTTTCTTCTTTTCGGATTGTGATGCTGATGAATGAGAGTGATTATCGGACTTACTTTTCTTCTTTTCGGATTGTGATGCTGATGAATGAGAGTGATCATCGGACTTACTTTTCTTCTTTTCGGATTGTGATGCTGATGAGTGGGAGTGATTATCGGACTTTCTTTTCTTCTTTTCGGATTGTGATGCTGATGAGTGGTAGTGATTATCGGACTTACTTTTCTTCTTTTCGGATTGTGATGCTGATGAGTGGAGGTGATTATCGCACTTACTTTTCTTCTTTTCGGATTGTGATGCTGATGAATGAGAGTGATCATCGGACTTACTTTTCTTCTTTTCGGATTGTGATGCTGATGAATGAGAGTGATCATCGGACTTACTTTTCTTCTTTTCGGATTGTGATGCTGATGAGTGGTGGTGATTATCGGACTTACTTTTCTTCTTTTCGGATTGTGATGCTGATGAGTGGAGGTGATTATCGCACTTACTTTTCTTCTTTTCGGATTGTGATGCTGATGAATGAGAGTGATCATCGGACTTACTTTTCTTCTTTTCGGATTGTGATGCTGATATATGAGAGTGATCATCGGACTTACTTTTCTTCTTTTCGGATTGTGATGCTGATGAATGAGAGTGATCATCGGACTTACTTTTTTTCTTTTCGGATTGTGATGCTGATGAGTGGTGGTGATTATCGGACTTACTTTTCTTCTTTTCGGATTGTGATGCTGATGAATGAGAGTGATCATCGGACTTTCTTTTCTTCTTTTCAGAGGAAGATGATTCTGAGTGGGAGTGATGATGGTGATCATCGGACTTTCTTTTTTTCTTCTTTTCGGGTTGTGATGATGTTCCTGCTGAGTCTTCAGACTTTCTTTTCTTTTGTGTCTTTTTTTTCGGTGCTTCTATTGAGTCTGAATCATTATCATCGTTCACACAATTTTCTTTGTATTCAACATTTCTTTTGCGTGCATGAATCACTTTTAGTACTAATTCTTTTCCGTTCCATGTGTACGTCTCGAGTACTTTATCTGTGGCAATCTCTCTAAGGTAAGCGGGTATGTCGATACAAGTGCTGCTGTCCTTACCTGTAAGATTACTATGGCACATTACAAGCAACCATGCTTGAAATTCGTTTGTAATTTTTATGTCCTTAACACTGGTAATCCTGTCTTCACCATAGTATTCACAGGAGCAAGTGCCGCGTTGAAAACTTTTAGCCACAGTCATGGTGTTAGTAACATTACCGTCAAGTTTAAGTCCGTGCTTTTTTGCCACATCACGGTATATGTCTTTTACACATTGGCTGGCCATTTCGTTATAATTGTAAAGCCAACTGCGTGCCATAAAGGTGGCGTTACCAAGAAGACGTTGTCGTAATTGATTAATGCTAAACAAAGTGTTAATTTTTGAAGTTTTATCCTTGCACATCGTATGACGGTGATTTCTTACCACTATGGCGAGTTCAACGGACTGGACAATCAAACCCAACGGGTTGGTTTCAGATTTTTTCGTAAGTTCAATGTATTTGATGTACTTCAGGTACGGAATCATAGTCTTGCATTTACTGTCCCAACACTCACCGCTTAAAGCACGCATGTCAGAAATATATTTTTTGCATGTTGTGATTATGTGGTCAAAAGTTTCAGGCGTACCCAGTATTTCTTTGCATGCGTCATCATAAGAGAAATCTTCGTTGTAAAAGTTTTTATTACGCTTCTCGGGATCTAAAGTTTGCACTATCCTAGCCTGAATGTTTTGGAACCTGCGATTCCAATAAGAGCAAGTCCAAACGTAAGGAGATAATCCAATGTATTTCAAAGGTATATTGGAAGAACTAGCTGTAAACAAATCTACTTCCTCTACAGAAATGGCTCTTCTCTTAAAAAAATCTCTAAGTTCTTTGTTTGTCCTAACATCATCACCCGTAATATTATTGTCTGCTTTCCTCTTTCTTCTTGAAGTAGTTGGTGCTGCTGCATTTTTATTTCTTTTTGGAATTTGACCGTAGTCGCCGGTTTGTTTATCAAGTCCCAACATATCTCTATCAGCTTGAACGCTCAGTTGTTTCAAGTTATTACTAGAGGAAGTGTTGGCTTTTTCTTTCTCTTCGGCTGCTTTTCTGTCTTGGTTTTTGTGCCACACATTGACTGCATCTGTGTATGTCTTTGACTTTTGGTACATTTTCCGACATTTCGAGTCCATGTTTATATAGTTCTTATTACCTTGTCTGAAAATTTGTATCATCTATAAAAAAATAAATGATTTTTGTTAATTAACTTTAAATATAAATTTATAATTAAAATTAAAAAAAAATAATAATAAAAACCATAACATAAAAAAAAGTCCGCCATCTTTGTTAATGCGTACGTTCTTTTGTGTGTTGATATGAGTTTTTAGTGGGTGCGGGTGTATATTTGTACATCCTACTATGTAGGAGTACGCCGATATATAATCTTTCTTTATTGTCATATAAACAAATTAAATTATGTTTGTGACAAACTGAAAAAAAAATACACTCAGATGTATATATAAGTTCACTGGTAAAAATATCCTGAGAATCCTGTTTTTTTTACAGTTTCCATCATTTAAAATACACTATACATTAATATAAGAAAGGAAGAAACACTAAGATAACTTCCGGTCGATCAATTATATCTACAAACATTCATTTACGCTGAGTTGCGTGTGTACACATATAACACGTGTTTACTACAAGCCGATAATGGCAGATTTAGGCAAATTGAAAATTGACTTATCGATTGACAAAACTTTAAATGACTATCCTCTTTCATCTCTTCCATCAAAGCAAAACAAGAGGTCCGGTAAGCAAAATTAAGCCTTTTCGAGCAAATTGATTCAAACATATAATGGCAAAATAGTGGTTGCATCATCTCTCTTACTACTCCTCGACTCGACAGTGTAATTTTCAACACAAATGAACCAATCATAAATGCCTTGTTGAAACAAATATATGATGACAATAAAGATGTTCTACTTGTTGATCATGGCAATATATTGCGAAATGGAAACCCAAATGCAGAGCTACTAAGTGAAGATAAATTTCATCTCTCTGACTCTGGCGTGTCTCAGCTATCGGCAAACTTGAAGCGTGGAATACACACTGCCAAATCGCGCAACACAAGAGGACGTGGACGTGGACGTGGCAGAGGTCATCATGAATAACTTGCTTTTTAATATTATACATATTACCATATCATTATGTTGACTTCCTTTAACATGATGATTAAACATGTTTAAAGTCATTTACATATAATTTATATATACATGTACAACTTTATATATTTCTTTTTTTTGGGGGGCTGATAAATTCATATTCACATTTGAATAGATTTTTCAAATGAAACAGCCACTATGTGAAGAAGTCACACTATTACATGGTCATATATATGTAACCTCTGCTAGGTGTAAAAGTTCCCCTTTTTTTATTTTTTTTTTTATTTTTAGTTTTCACATTTGAATCATACTTTTGATCTTGAATTAACCCAGGATATCAGGTTATTCAACCCAAATCAATTTAATAGTTATTCAGTTAAAAGAGGATACATAGAAAAGAAATTATCTGTCATTATATCATTGACTATTTGTATTTAGAATACCATTGTAAAAACTATCCTCTAAATAAATCTACTTATTTCAAATATTTACATTTCTGAATATTTTCCTTATTGTCTCTTCCTTTTATTTAGAGACAAATTTTTATTATTTTTTTTATAGATAGAAAATCTATTCTTTTATTTATACCAGATTTAATTGTATCAACCAAAATGCCAAAATCAAACCAATCATCTGTAAAATATAGGTGGCTTATTTTCAAAGGGCATGAATAAAGCAGAGAATCCCCTTTTTCTGAAACATATAGAGAATTACGACATTGTTTTTTTAGTCGAAACTCATGTGGGATATAATTCCCAAATAGACAATATTGGTAAATTTCATTATCATCCAATATGTATAAAATTACCAAATAATAACCGTCATTTTGGGGGTATAGCAATTCTACAGAAAAGTCACGTTAAACCTCATGTCAAAATATTGATAAACAGTAATCCAGATTATCAATGGATTGAATTAGAAAAATCCTTTTTGGATTTTAAAGTGACCTATTTATTTGTGTACTGTACAACCCCCCTGTTACGTCTAAATATACCCAAGAACTCTCTTCTGATGTTTTTGAATGCATAGAAAAAGATATCTTTCAGTATAAAAAAATGGGTGAAATTTTGTTATGTGGAGATTTTAATGCCAGAATAGGCTCTGAAAATGACTTTATAGAAAACGATGATTCAAAATTTACTCCAATTTTTTATACATACCCTACTGACAAAAACATTATGACAAGAAAAAGTCGAGACCAAAAAATTTATCAAAGAGGCAAAAAAATTCTGGATTTTTGCATTAGTAAACAAATAAGAATTTTAAATGGCAGAGTTCTTGGTGATACATTTGGTAATTTTACTTGCTATACCCCCAATGGTGAAAGTGTGGTTGATTATGTTGCTGTGTCGGAAGAAATTCTTGAAAATGTACTGTATTTTAAAGTATCCAGATTTATTCCCACATTATCTGATTGTCATTGTAATTTTGAATGGGAATTATCTGCAAATATTGTGTTCCTGGAGAAAATGATATTCCAATCCATTTAAAAAATATGACACCTAATTATATCTGGACTGACTGTTCAGCAATAAAATTTCAAGAAACACTTTCTTCAGATACACTACAAAACTACATACTAGAATTCAACAACAGCACAATTTAATTTACTCAGACATCAGTAGATGAAGCATCATCAAAACTTTCAAACATCTTTTTATCAGCAGCAAATCTATCGCTTAAACGACCTTTAATAAAACACGTAAACAAACAAAAAAAAAACAAAAAGTGGTTTGACGCAAGTTTACAACAAGCTCGAACTAACTTGCTTAATTATGGAAAAATTTATTCAAGATTTCCATATGATCCAATTATAAACTAGATAAGAGCCTGTGTCGCTCACCTTGGTCTATGTGCATATTAAACAAAGGACACAGATGGATTCATGACAAAATTGTGTTTTGGTGATGGTGATGTGTTTGTAGATCTTACTTTACTGAACATTCTTGCTCCTTACTATTATCTCTATCTATAATGAACTTGGCCCGGTAGTTACAGTGGAAAATACTTTGTAAAAATTTACAAAAATTTACAAAATTTATGAAAATTGTAAAAAATTGACTATAAAGGGCAATAACTCCTTAAGGGGTCAATTGACAATTTTGGTCATGTTGCCTTATTTGTAGATCTAACTTTGCTGTACATTATTGCTGTTAACAGTTTATCTCTATCTATAACAATATTCAAGATAATAACCAAAAGCTGCAAAATTTTCTTAAAATTACCAATTCAGGGGTAGCAACCCAACAACGGGTTGCCTGATTGGTCTGAAAATTTCAGGGCAGATAGATCTTGACCTAATGAACAATTTAATCCTCATCAGATTTGCTCTAAATGCTTTGGTTTCAGAGATATGAGCCAAAAACTGCATTTTACCCTATGTACTATTTTTTAGCCATGTCGGCCATCTTGGTTCGCGGGCGGGGTCATCGGACACATTTTTTAAACTAGATACCCTAATGATGATTGTGGACAAGTTTGGTTAAATTTGTCTTAGTAGTTTCAGAGGAGAAGATTTTTGTAAAAAATTACAAAAAATTACGAAAAATGATTAAAAATTGACTATAAAGGGCAATAACTCCTTAAGGGGTCAACTGACCATTTTGGTCAAGTTGACTTATTTGTAGATCTTACTTTGCTGAACATTATTGCTGTTTACAGTTTATCTCTATCTATAATAATGTTCAAGATAATAACCAAAAACTGCAAAATTTCCTTAAAATACCAATTCAGGGGCAGCAACCCAACAACGGGTTGCCTGATTGGTCTGAAAATTTCAGGGCAGATAGATCTTGACCTAATGAACAATTTTATCCTCATCAGATTTGCTCTAAATGCTTTGGTTTCAGAGATATGAGCCAAAAACTGCATTTTACCCTATGTACTATTTTTTAGCCATGTCGGCCATCTTGGGTCGCGGGCGGGGTCATCGGACACATTTTTTAAACTAGATACCCTAATGATGATTGTGGACAAGTTTGGTTAAATTTGTCTTAGTAGTTTCAGAGGAGAAGATTTTTGTAAAAAATTACAAAAAATTACGAAAAATGGTTAAAAATTGACTATAAAGGGCAATAACTCCTTAAGGAGTCAACTGACCATTTTGGTCAAGTTGACTTATTTGTAGATCTTACTTTGCTGAACATTATTGCTGTTTACAGTTTATCTCTATCTAAAATAATGTTCAAGATAATAACCAAAAACTGCAAAATTTCCTTAAAATTACCAATTCAGGGGCAGCAACCCAACAACGGGTTGCCTGATTGGTCTGAAAATTTCAGGGCAGATAGATCTTGACCTAATGAACAATTTTATACTCATCAGATTTGCTCTAAATGCTTTGGTTTCAGAGATATGAGCCAAAAACTGCATTTTACCCTATGTACTATTTTTTAGCCATGTCGGCCATCTTGGTTCGCGGGCGGGGTCATCGGAAACATTTTTTAAACTAAATACCCTAATGATGATTGTGGACAAGTTTGGTTAAATTTGTCTTAGTAGTTTCAGAGGAGAAGATTTTTGTAAAAAATTACAAAAAATTACGAAAAATGGTTAAAAATTGACTATAAAGGCCAATAACTCCTAAAGGAGTCAACTGCCCATTTTGGTCAAGTTGACTTATTTGTAGATCTTACTTTGCTGAACATTATTGCTGTTTACAGTTTATCTCTATCTAAAATAATGTTCAAGATAATAACCAAAAACTGCAAAATTTCCTTAAAATTACCAATTCAGGGGCAGCAACCCAACAACGGGTTGCCTGATTGGTCTGAAAATTTCAGGGCAGATAGATCTTGACCTAATGAACAATTTTATACTCATCAGATTTGCTCTAAATGCTTTGGTTTCAGAGATATGAGCCAAAAACTGCATTTTACCCTATGTACTATTTTTTAGCCATGTCGGCCATCTTGGTTCGCGGGCGGGGTCATCGGACACATTTTTTAAACTAGATACCCTAATGATGATTGTGGACAAGTTTGGTTAAATTTGTCTTAGTAGTTTCAGAGGAGAAGATTTTTGTAAAAAATTACAAAAAATTACGAAAAATGATTAAAAATTGACTATAAAGGGCAATAACTCCTTAAGGGGTCAACTGACCATTTTGGTCAAGTTGACTTATTTGTAGATCTTACTTTGCTGAACATTATTGCTGTTTACAGTTTATCTCTATCTATAATAATGTTCAAGATAATAACCAAAAACTGCAAAATTTCCTTAAAATTACCAATTCAGGGGCAGCAACCCAACAACGGGTTGCCTGATTGGTCTGAAAATTTCAGGGCAGATAGATCTTGACCTAATGAACAATTTTATCCCATCAGATTTGCTCTAAATGCTTTGGTTTCAGAGATATGAGCCAAAAACTGCATTTTACCCTATGTACTATTTTTTAGCCATGTCGGCCATCTTGGGTCGCGGGCGGGGTCATCGGACACATTTTTTAAACTAGATACCCCAATGATGATTGTGGCCAAGCTTGGTCAAATTTGGCCCAGTAGTTTCAGAGGAGAAGATTTTTGTAAAAGTTTACGGACGACGGACGACGGACGACGGACGCAGGACGACGGATGCCAAGTGATGAGAAAAGCTCACTTGACCTTTCAGGTCAGGTGAGCTAAAAATCACTTTTATAAACTGAATCGTGAATACTCCAAACTAAGGAAATATAAATACAAACAATACAAACAATCATTGATTAGTCAGCTGGACTTCTTGCACGAAGAGAATCCAAAACTGTATTGGAACTTAATTAATGAACTACAGGAAAAAAAACGAAACACAAAAAAAATGTGGAGTACAACCATCAACTTTGATATCACATTTCCAAAAGTTGTCACAACTGAAAGGTGAATTTCAAAGTAGATATACAGAGCTATGTGAAAAACTGAAACAGTTAGAAAACTCAAAATGTTTCAACGAGTTGGACTCCGCCATCATAGAGTCTGAAATATCCAAAGCCATTTCACATTTAAAATGTAATAAATCATCAGGCGTGGGTGACATTAATAATAATATGATAAAAAATGGACAGACATTCCTTTTAAAAAGTTTTCAACAGATGGTTAATACTTGTCTGTCTAACACACTACATCAGATGAATTAAACATCATGGTATGGTTCAATAAATGTCATTTTAAAACTACTTGGAATTGACTATACAAATGCTAAAAATGCTCCATTTTATGAATACTTATACAAATTTCAGAAGTATGTACAAACCAAGCTATCAATATTGTTCATTACAATGTATAATAATAAGCTATTGGAAAAAACAACTAGATAAATTTTCAGACAGTAAACTGAAAACCTACCATTTATATAAAACAATTGAAACTTTGGTTTTGAAAAATATCTAACATTGATCAAGAATTTTGAGCTAAGAAGAATTTTTACAAAGTTACGTGTATCTTCTCATAAGTTACAAATAGAACTAGGTAGATATCAGGGTATTCCCCGACTTGACAGAATATGTCATAAATGTTCTTCCAATACTGTCGAAGACGAGGCTCATTTTCTTTTTGATTGCAACAATTTGAGGATGATAGAATTCATATGTTAGCTAGCATTGCAAAATGTAATTCTTTAAGTTATTTTAATAATATGAGCAGTCAAAACAAAACATCTGGTTATTTTGTGTAGAAAATGTTGATTTACTTAAAATAATATGTTATTTTATATACTGTAACAAACATCTTCCTTAGTGAAAATTATTTAATGGGAATCTATGTGTGTATGTACATTTGATTGGACATCTTAGAAATATATATTGATCTGAATATCACAAACATACTAGCCGATTTTTTTTTTTTTTTTTTATATATATATTTTTAGAATACATTATTTATTCAAATACTCTCTTATATCCTTAAGGCATCGTCCCCTGGTATCAACTGCATTCAAGTTACCTATGATGCTACCTTGTTTGCTTTTGATTCCATTAGGCACGAGACATTTACACATATTTTACATGCCTATGGTCCATAAGGTATCACCCCTTGGTGTCAGCTGCCTTTAGGAAACCATAATGCTTTCCTATTTGCTACTGACACAGGATGGCCAGTAGACAGGCTTAACTTTTTTTTGGCTAGTTGATTATATGTTTATCTTAACTAATTATGTGCAATATATATATATATATGGATATCTATTTTGGCTGTTTGTTTGTTAATCTATATAAACCACACTTGAATTATATTGCATTATATACCGGGTATTTAAAATTATATGTTCATTATCTATATATTACTTTAAGAACTTAATTTTTTCTTAATTTTATCTTTTGTTTTTTATCTCATTGTTTATATTGTATTGTGAAAATTATTGATGTTGTAATGTTTATGCCCTTTGGGGCCAATAATTGGAAATAAAATATTCTTCTATAGAACGGCGATTCATACATGATGAAGACATAATCTTTCAATCAGTTTAATTGAAGTCTGGAGCTGGCATGTCAGTTAACTGCTAGTAGTCTGTTGTTATTTATGTATCATTGTCATTTTGTTTATTTTCTTTGGTTACATTTTCTGACATCAGACTCGGACTTCTCTTGAACTGAATTTTAATGTGCGTATTGTTATGCGTTTACTTTTCTACATTGGCTAGAGGTATAGGGGGAGGGTTGAGATCTCATAAACATGTTTAACCCCGCCGCATGTTTGCGCCTGTCCCAAGTCAGGAGCCTCTAGCCTTTGTTAGTCTTGTATTATTTTTAATTTTAGTTTCTTGTGTACAATTTGGAGTTTAGTATGGCGTTCATTATCACTGAACTAGTATATATATATTTCGCTGCATTGAAGACCTGTTGGTGACCTTCTGCTGTTGTCTGTTCTATGGTCGGGTTGTTGTCTCTTTGACACATTCCCCATTTCCATTCTCAATTTTATTGTGTACATGTAGAAAGTTAATAACAATTATTATTAGCTTACCTTTAATCTCTTTCTCTTTAAAAATAATACGTCCGCTCTGATTGAAAATCTTTACAAGAATGGATAATGATGTAAACATTTCCTGTACATGTATGAAATTTTTGCGCATGACCAAATGTTTGAGAAAACCAAATTTGATCACGTGATTTTACTACAACGAGGTTTTACAGAAGGGGCATCAAGTCTTTTTGCAGCCTTTATTACAACAGAAACAATTCTTTTATATCGTTTATTACAAATATTATTAGAACTCGTCGCTCTAGATGCAGAAAAGGCTTTCGACACGCTAAGCCATGAGATCATGTTAAATAAACTTTTTCATGATGGAATTGAAGGAGACATGTGGATTTTACTTCGTAACATTTATCAAGATTTGTCTCTAAAAGTAAAGTGGAACAATAAAACATCAGAAAGCATTAATATTTTGCAAGGGGTACGTCAAGGTGCAAAATTATCATCTCTATTGTACAAACGGTATAATAACACCATTCTCAATGCAATATCCACCAGCGATTTAGGCGCAAAGCTAGGCAACATACATGTAGGTTCACCAACATGCGCGGACGATATCGCTTTACTGGGAGAACAATCCGATATACAAGCAATGCTAGGCATTATAGAATTTCACACCAAAAGGGACATGGTTAAAATTAACCCAGATAAATCCGAAATTATGTGTGTCTCTAAAGGATCAAAACAACAATCCAAATCATACAACTTCAACGGAAAAGAAATAAAAAGAGTAGAAAAATTGAAACATCTAGGTATCACTAGAGCTACAAATGGCAAAGTCAACTTGGATGAAAGACTTAAAACAGGCCGACAAACTATATATGCCTTGCTAGGTTCTGGTCTACATGCAAGAACAGGAATGTCACCCATAGTGCTTAAAAAAGTATGGAAAACCTACGCTGTCCCACGTTATCTTTATGGGCTCGAGGTTCAAATATGCACAAAAAAGGATATATCTGAACTGGAAAAATTACAAAGGAAGATATTTAAACAATTCCAATGTCTACCAGAAAGAACAGCATCCGCAGCAGTATATATACTAATAGGAGCTGAGCCCATTGAGTCGATTTTAGACAAAAACATGCTAGCACTATTTCTCTCAATCTCTCGCCTGGATAGCTCGATAGAACGTAAAATATTAGAATGGGAATTGGAAATTAGTTCAAGTTTTGACAACTCTTTTATTTGTCGTATAAATAAAATTTTGCAAAAATATCAATTGCCAAAAGCAGAAGAAATTATGGAACATCCTCCATCAAAATATATGTGGAAAAAACAATTGAAAACATCAATAAATGAATACTGGTCTTCAATTTGGACAATAGAATGTAACACAAAATCAACACTTAAACATTTATCTCTTCAAAAAAATCCGGTCTATAATCCACATAACATTTGGAAATGTGTTAGAAATAACCAATATGACATAAAAAAAGGCAGAATTCAAATGTAAGCTAGTAACTGGTACCTACATGCTCCAAAGTACTAGGGCAAAATTTAGTAAAAATGCTATTCAACCAAATTGCAAGCTATGCAAAGAATCTGAAGAAACCTTGGAACATTTCCTACTACATTGCTTAAGTCTATCTGATGTTAGGCAGCGATATATGGATAAATTATTCAAAATGCTACGAGAAATAGAAAGGGGTGGTACAACAAATGTTATTAATAATGAACTATTACTCAAAATTATATTAGACTGCTCAGCACTAGACATAATGAGTAATCAACCAATAGACAAGTTGCTAGATATAGAAAGGAAGACACAAGATTTATGCTACCATTTACACATGAAGCGTACACAACTTTTATGTGATATCAAGTGACATGAAAACATAACAGTAATATTAAATATAGTCTGAACAGTCTGCATGGGATGCCAAGCTAACTGGTTCAGTCTATAAATATCAGCATAAAAGATGCAATATAATTTTAACATTTGCCTTGGCAGGGCACCTATTGACTAGAAATCGTTAGGTTGTAAAATTTTTATTTATTCATATTGGTGAATCAAAGTGGCGTAATTTGTAACGTGTGAATAATATATTTTTTTTTTTTTTGTATTAATATCTTTTAAAATATCATCAAAGACATTATAAACTTTTATTTTATTCACTTTAACTAACTAATTTTATTTTAAAATTATATATTTTTCATATCGTAAATATAAAAATATCCGCTTTTTCGGTTAAGTATTTAAAATTAAAAAGTGGAGTGCTCCGATAAAACGGAGGAATATACCAGAACAGAACAGAACAGATTGGTGAAGACAGACGTACACAAGTCACAGAACACATAAATATTTTGTTTGCAAGCATTCAAGGGCAGATCCAGGATTTTGGAAAGGGGGGGCGTAGTATGTATAATTCGCCGATCAGAGCGAGGCGAAAAATTTTTTTTGACCTTTTTGGGGCTACAAAACATAAAATAAGTGTAAAATGCACATTTTTGGTGACGGTTCCTAACGTGAGGTATGTATATTTTATAGTTAAAGTGTAAGCTTGGGTTGGACATTTTTGTTGCCGCATTCTCCCCATTAGTTGTCTATTATAAAATGATTGAATGGATCTAAAGCTATGTACTTATATATTTGATGTGGGATTTGTCAGTAAAAAATGGACATGTAAAATTCTCGTTTGTTGTATGGTTAGTTAGCATAACCTCACAGATTACTTGTTGTAAACATGATATACGGCTATTCAATGAAGTTTAAAATACGACCGACACGAACAAAGACAAACAAGCAATTTTTATCCAAATGTTTGGTTGAAATGTTTCACTCAACAAGGGAAGTGAGGGGTTCCAAATCAACCAACGGCTACGAATGAGTCTGAAAATCAAATGACAACGAAATTGTAAATGACGGTCGACAAATGGAGACATAAAGGCCACACCCAGCAGGCAGCAGACATTCCGGTCAGATATGGGATTTACATGCAACCCCCCCCCCCCCCCAAAAAAAAAAAAAATTACGCCCGTTTTTTATTCACCATGTTCATTTAATACTGAATAATTCTGTTGGGTTTTTTTTTCTTATAGCAAAAAAGGGGACACGATAATTGTTTTCATTACAGATACGGCCAGAATTTTTTAAGGCAAAAATCAGGGTCAGAATTTTTTCTTTAAAATATCTCAGACTGTCCGTACCTTAGACTTTAAATATATCTAGAGCTTAATTACTGACTGGGGATCATTATTCAGCAATTAATTGTCTGGGGCGTGTGGGGTTAAACATATTTTCGTAGGTAAATAATATTGCCGTGGAATTTTTTTTTCTTCATGAGAGTGTAATAGAGTATTACTTTCTGTTGAGTGGAAATATGAAATAGAAGTCAATACGTTCTTGCTCTATCCTTTGTCGCTTTGAAGGCGTACGTCATGCTTGTCATCCTCCGCCTAAGCAATGTGTTACTGTAATTTGAATTTCAATATGACTGAGTGACGTTTCAAATGTACTGATCAACTCCACCATAGCGAAACATATGACTGACATAATCAATAATATATTACAGTAAATACGAGCGAAAAATATCTTTATAAGTAAAAAATTGTCGCATAAAAATTAAATACACGACCGGGAAATAGCTAAGTTCACGAAGTCTAGTCTGATTCATCATTTCAAGCAAAAGGGGGGAGGGGGGGGTGGCGTACGCCCTCTACGCCCCCCTCTGGATCCGCCACTGGCTGTGGCCAATACTGCCAACAAATTTTTACAAGCCATGTAAACATTTCAAATACGTTTATTGTTATCTCCCTTTTGCCATTAAACTTTTGAATTAAACAAAAATCGTATAGTTTGATGTACGTAAAACGCCTAAACATTGTGTTTGTCTCCTTTTCTCCATTTAGTTCAAATCTATTTTAAAATAGCGTATCCCACGATAGAGAGCGTTTTCACTTATATTTGAACATACTATACGAAAATGCAAACATTGTTCGCAGGGGACACATATATATTTTAAATGATACACAGTTAACAATTTTCCTACCTTCGTAGAAAAAAGAGTTTCTTTTCAACTAATTTGTCATTATAGCGTGCCGCTTTCAAAGAGTATACGAGAATATGAGTTTTTTGAAAGTATTTCTTCTAAAAGGGATAAAGTTGATCAAAGTTTAATGACACAAGTTCAGTAATTTAGGTAAATATATACCTGTAGATTGTAATGTTTTTCTAATTTTTAGGCATATTAAAATAGCCCGATTATATCATTATCAGATCGTTTTGAGGGTAATTATTTGATTGCCATTAAGGATTTTTATAATATTTGTAAGATTACCAAACATGATTTTTTTTTTGGTCTCATTGACAACTCAATTATTTTTTGTTAAAATGAATGATCTGTGTCATGTGTGTGGCATTAAAAACAATCTATCAAGAAAAGCAGTTTGAAAACTTTTACCTAGGAAAGCTCATTGTGACAAGTGAAAACAGAACAACTCGCGGTGTGATAAATTTGCCATGTTTAAAATCCCTTGAAGGATGCAGATTCAAGGGTGTCAACAAAGGTGATACGGACGGACGGACCGACGGACAGGCAGAAGGATTGAAGGTAGCATTGTGTTACTATTGCCCTTCGATAGAAGGTGTTTCCGAAAAGGACGCAATAGCATTGCACGTATGTGTTACCAAAGGATAGAGTATTAGAGTATGATTTGCTAAATTGCGTATTCCATATAATTATTTGCTGTCAGTGATAATCTATTTTTCTGTAAAACCATTTTTTTTCGATTCATGTGCTGACCCCCTCCCCCTAAGATTTGCCTGTACTCGGTGATACCGAATACTCTTTAAAAATATCCGGAAGACCGTATACCAAAAGGGCTATACGCTCCTTACATTTACCACCCTCCTCCCCTCCCCCTTCCTCCAATGTGATGTTGAATTCTATGATTTCTAAAATAGATTTAAGATGGAAACGTGGAATGTGTCAAAAATACAATAACTCAACTAAACACATGGCAACCAATTGGTCTTCTATGAACAACTATTAAAGGAACGACAAGTTAACCTGAAAAGGGAGGGACGTGGCATGTTTTTTTCCTAAATAGATAATGTTATGCTGTTTTTTTTTTGAGAAAAAATATAAAGAAATTTGAGAGCGGAATTTTACC